CTTTTGATCAAAGGGTCAATCAACGTCGTGGCTGAAACTGGAGTGTTTATGTTTATGAATATCCTCGCCAAAGTTATCGCCTATCTTCGACGTCAAAAGAATCTCATTTGTGAGATGTGATCCAAATGTCCTTATTATATAAATGTTCGTTGGACGTCCCTCGCTAAGGTGCTAAAGTGGTTGTTGGCAAACCAGATTCAAGTCTCCATCTACATGCAAGAGAAAAATTTTGCTCATTCTCCATCTACTGCCTGGTATGTATTATGATATTACTCGTTGAGTTCCTAATCTCTTTATTTCAACACGTTATTGAATTTGACGTTTGATTTTCAGGTGGATAGTTGCAAAGATTGTACACGTTTTTTTGAAGAGTGTTGTTATTACTTTCGACATTCTGCAAATGGCTGATGCACATTTGTCTCAACAAATGGGCAATCTGGAAAGGCTTTGTGAGGAATTAAAGTCAAATTGTGGAGCAATTGTTGACGACAGAGTTGTTGAGTTTGGAGTTCCGATTACGATTTTCCCGGACTAAAGTCCAGATGGGTCTTTTCATTGTTAACTCTGATACAATCAAAGATAGCATTAGAACCATAGATGTATTAGCGATGGATCAGTTTGAATCACTGGAGATGGTTGACGCATTTACAGTTATTCAAGAAATGGCTGTGATCTATCTTAGTTCATTGAACGGCATCATGAAGATCAAGGCCGCAGGGAATTGCTATAATCAAGAGTTTGACTCGGTGCCTGCAAGTTCTCCGATGGATTTGATTGCAGTTTCTGCCATCGATTTTGTTTGAATTGTTTGAAAACACAAGTCTTGAATATTGAACACGTTCGATGAGGCAGAAATGGTGTTGATTACAGATCAGCACAAGGAGTTGACGTCATCAGTAGCACATGAACCCCAACTTCAGACAGCTTTGGAGAAAGTCGCAAAGAAAGCCTTCAATTAAGCTTGGGATACTGTTGGCCATCGATTCGAATCTCTATGTCAATTTGCTGCAGGTCTCGCCTTTGTTATGCCAACAACTAGCCGCATTGAAGCCGACTTCTCCTTCATGAACTATCGCAAAGATGAGTACAAAACTTATCGGACTATTCTCTTGAAGGAGTCATGTTTGCACGTCAGCTCAACCAGCTCGATTCACTGAAAAGCTGCATCTCGAGAAATGGAACATTTCTCGACTAGTTGTAATGATTTTATGACTTGCGATATAATAAATATATTAAGAGTTCTTTTTTGCGATATATTAGTTAATATATCACAGCATTGCAAAGAGATACATTAAATTTTGTTCACACGCTTGACGTTTCAAAACTCAACATTGTAAAGAGTAGTGGATATATTTTGAGTGTTAAAAACGTTTCAAATGATAAAAAATAAAATATAAGAGGAGATGAGTTGGGAAGCAACAATTAGATTGAATTTTACAAACGGTTAGAAAGGGATCATACATTTTTTTTAACTTCATTTTCCTATGAAGTAGAATGAGACATATCACTTAATTTAACTTACATTTGAATTGCTAAAATATGCCGAAGTATGTGCAAAAAAAAAAGAATTGTCTTGGGGTATTAAATTTTATATATTGACACATAATGATACAAGAACAATTTCAATAAATATTTAATCCAAGACATGTCTTATACGGATAATACATATCATTAGCTAAATATAAACTAACAGGAAATTACATGATGAAAAAATATATAAATACTCTAGTCTAAGACATGTTTCAAAGAAAAAATTTTACAGTATTTTCAATGATATATCATCACAATTTTTGCAGGTGGAATGATAACTATCTAAACTTCTAGTTTTGAACAAATAAAATGTTCAATATCATTGAGTAATGTTACCAAGTTTTCAGAGCTCTGGAACTATGACAAGTGTATTCTTGCTGCCCGCATACAACTTTTAGACTCAAAGTTTGGGCATGTAAACATATTTGGTGTTGAGATTCCTCTCAACGTTTGGGCCTTCCCGCCTTGCCTGTGCAGCCTGCACTCGGCAAGGTAATGTAACATTTTAGGGTTACCCAGTAAAATGGTAAAAGTTAAGGGTAAAGGTTGAGGTTTGGCTATAGGGTAGGGTAAAGGTAAGGTAAAGTTAGACCCGTTTGGATTACCTGGTAATTACCGGGTAACACTTGTGACTGCGAAAAAAAAAAACGTGGACACTCTCAAAATTATTCACAATGTAATTCTGCACATTATACTGAAACGATCCAGGTTAACTGTACTAAACAAGTAAACTACCTTTAGCTTTTACCCTTTAGGGTATAGGTAATGGGGTAATTACCCGGTAACCCTGATCTTTTAACCTTTAGGGTAGAGTTAATAGGTTAATTACTCGGTAACCCTGATGTAAAAGTAACTTTTAAAGCTTTTAGAATCCGTATCAGATAACCCGGTAATTACCCTGAGGTAAAAGTAAAGGGTAAATGTAGACAATAGTGACACGAGTAAGGTAAAAGGTAAGGTAAAGGTGGAGCCTATGGCTTACCCGGTTACCTTTTACCTTACCTTGGCGAGGCCTATGTGCAAGGTTGTTTATGCAATAGAAACTATGTAGAGCTAGCACTGCGTCTACAACGTGGCAACTTAATTCCCCGATCCGTTAGTAGAGCTTCAAATTTCTTGTAAGATTTATAAATTTTTCAATGTATGTTATGCAATTTTTGAATTCTGGTCATTTCGCTTTCGTTGTGCGAGCCTCATCTGATAATTTTGTGCATATTTTTGTGCAATTTCTTTACTAATTCGGAAAGCCTTGTGTCCTTTGCCAACGATCCATATTAGTAGCATCAGCAACTCACAACGATGAATAGGAATTTCAGTTGTCGAAAGCACAGTGCAGGCAAGCAGTTGGCTGGATACCAGAAGAAGCCTTCATCATGTGATTCGTGATGGTGGTTGCTAGTGGGGATCAACACTACTCAAGCTCCGCATTACATCCAGATTATTTAAACATAACCACCGCCCATTGTGCGTTGTTTTATCGTACGAACGATTCCAATTCTTGCCTTTGTTCATTTGAGGATTCCATGTTTGCGTCAGCAGCTCCAGATTAGAGAACATATTCCACATATGTCAAACCGGTTGATCAACGAGCAAACAGACTGCGTCAGTTCTACAATCTCTAATAAGAATCACCACATTAGTCCTTTGAATCTCCAAATAAAAACATAAGTGAAAAATCCATGTAAGAAACAAAGCCAAAGAGGACAACAATTAAATCACAGGTCTTGACTTTCAACCTTATCCCTGCTGTTATAAAGAGGATACCGCACTTTATAGACCACCCTGCTCAATAAATAATAATCAAACTTTACTAGTCAATATTACAGACTCATGGCAACTCCATACACAGAAATCTGATTTTTCAAACTATTCTTTAAGCAATCAATTCGAAAGGTTTTCAAAGTTTCTAACGGTACACAAAATCTGAATTGTACCTCTGGTACAAATCCACTCACGAGAGAGTTGAAACTCCTCATACCCAGCTCTTCATTTTAAATTGTATGTGGAATGGTGAACAAAACACACCGAACAGAAACGATACTTAAATAAGGTTCAATAATTTCAAATAATTTCCGAATGTCAACGTGGTTTTTAATGCTTGATCAAAAGATGGTATCTAGCTGGTTATAAAGTTTGTCTGAAACGCGTGCGTGCTTCGTATACGCTACGTCAATTACAGAATTAGGAAATGGACTTGTAAATACGTAATCAACTTTTTGGCTTCATATTTGCGTATATTTTCATCTTTCTTCTACTTTCTGATCATGAGACATACTCATCTGACACGATGATGAGATCGGGTGCATGCGACGCACTGCGACAATACTTGAAGATTCATTCTGCTTACGGATCGGACCCGGTACATAGATCAACCTCGTGGGAATCAAAAGGTCAAAAAGGTTGAATAAATCTTTCTAGTGCCAAGAGCAGTTGAACGATGACTAATTATGTACATAATATAAATTCCATAACCAAAAGGCACTTCGCCAGTCTGGGACGACGCCTGAGAGATTCGAACTCTCGCGGGGAGACCCCATGTACTTAGCAGGCACACGCCTTAACCACTCGGCCAAAGCGTCCCAGTTGTGTTAGGTAGGTATTTTTAATATGATGATATATTTCTCAAATTATGAATTTCAATCAAAATTATCTAATTTTGATCAAATTAGAAATCTGATTACAAAAATGATTGGTTTTGATCTTTTTGTAGTTTTATCTTATCATAACTTTCAAAATATAATGAAAATCATATAATGTTAAAGATAAAATCAATCTAAGGTATCACAGATTTTTGCAAAACTGCTCATTCTCCGCAATTGGATTACTTATTTTCAGTAGTTTCCTTAATCCTCCACTTTTATTTCTCCTCCACAGGTAGCTCCTCCTTCGCACCTTTTTGAGGCCGTCCTCTCTTTCTTTGTACAGGGACAGGATTCCAAGCCGTGCTCTCGAGCACCTCTTTGGGAGTCGCGACAGACAGTTTCTTCGTCAGAACTTTAGCCCGCCCCATCTGGTGACCCACGTGAGCAACACAACACACCATGGCAATCTTAAAGACCTCAGACATTACACAGCAACTCAGAAAGCAAACGCAGGCACTCAATCATCAAGTCAACCACAACGATAATGATACGCAAGCGCTCTACAACACGATGCAGCGTTAAGAGTCCACCAACCCGAAAGAATGAGGAGTTTGTGAAAGAGAAATTTGATTCTCCATCACACCCAAGCTGTCCACCACGCGACACCCGCGGATAATCCGCTGATCGTCCCCTTTCAGCAGCGCGTCCGCTCGCGCCCGGCAGGAATCTAGACGCGTCCGAGAGATTCCCTTGCGCCCGTAGGGACGGTCTGCACTCAGTCAGCGGGTGCCCGCACGCATGGCCGTCTAGGACCCCGTCCGTCGAAAAGGGCGCTAGCGAGCCAGGCGCACGGACGAGTCCACAGCACGTTCAACAAGCTGCTCTGGTAGCATCATACATCACACCCATAGACATGTTCAACAAGCTTCTCACCAGCTGCCCGTCCTTCTCGCCAAGCCCGGCACCGGCTGCCACCAACGTGCCATCGAAATCCAAAATCATCGACAGATTGCCGATGCAGACGACATAGCTGATCAACGCAGGACGGGCAGCTGATGAGCAGCTTGGTGAACGTGCTGGAAGGTGGAGTGAGTATCAACACTGCTCAAGCTCCGCAGTATATGGCCGAGCGGGGAAGATCGATATTGCATGCCAAGGCGTTCGAGCTGGGCCTTTGGGTGGAGCACACGGACGGGACAGTTCTCATTTCGCGGGCGACAAGACTTCTCGGGTCAGCTGAAGTCAATCACACAGTTGTTCAATCAATCGTTCAGTCAATCATTGACGATGTTCTCCTGAATCTTATTCACAGTCTCAGGCTTGAACTGGGATACGCCTGCAGCAAAACAAACTGATGCAAACGCAACGCAGCAGCAAAACGCAGCCATAGCAAAAGCCCATGAAAGATAAACATACCACGACAATGGCGCATGATTGCTGCCCGCTCTGCCTGAACGACCAAACGCCGAGCCTGCTGCCCACGGTAGGCTTGGCCACGGTCCGGTTAACCATTAACCGGTTTAGAAAAATTGTGTACCGGTTAACCTGTTAATCGGTAATTTAACCGGTCCAGGTTTGGCCCGTATCTATTAAAGGTTAATCTATACTTTAACCGGTCTCGACCGGACCGTGGCCAAGCCTAACACGCTCTGCGCGCTTTCGAATTGTGTGCAAAGTATCACTCGTGGACTAATAGTTTCTCAAATACAGCACAGTATTCTTACGTTCGGCTAAACTCCCGAATTTTTGCGTGCATTCCACTACGAACTCGCGGGTGCCACGACAACGACGATCAGCAAAATCCTGTCAACCATCCTTGCACAGGTCCTACCTCGTAAGCCTCGATCATCACAGCAACAGGTGACATATTTGCGCAATTTGACGATCACCAGGTCACGAGAGCAACTAAAATTCTGAAGCGGATTGAATTCCGCATCAGACTCGAATTGAGCGCTCGATTTCTTCCTATTCCTTCGTCGTGAGTTCGGGGTTCGTGTGGGGCTGTCAAAACATTTCCGTCTTGCAATGAGGCCGAAATCAGGACGAAGGTGTGATAATGAATTTTCTCATTACACGGAGTCACTAATTGGGTACCTACAGTTTTGGTACCCATAAATTATGAAGGTTTGAGTCTTGAATCTTGGATTATGAAGGATGGTAACTTTTTTTTTTGGGTACCGGTTAAATTTTTTTTTCCCCGGGCCGAAATTTCTCTGCAACTCATAACGCTCACCCGATCTTCGCGCCAAATCTCAGCCGCCAATAGTTTTTATTATTAATAGTTTATATTTATTTTTGATTTTATGTTATGTTATTATTTAGTATTTTAATTCAATTTAATTTAATTTAAAGACCCGTAATTGACTGGTGAGTGAGGGAAGACATGTTATGTTCAGGGTTAAGTGCAGAGTTCCCAACCGCCTTTCATAGTTTTGGGTAGTGTTATCTGGCGCATTCATTGGAGTCGATTTCTCGGCCGCGAGGGGACGCGCGTCTCACGGTGTCTTGAACCCTGACTGCAAGGGCCTAATGCCAGGGTTCTCCCGTTAATATATAAGGCTATTGCCGCTAACAAAGCTGCTGAAGCCAAACAAACAGGACAAGCGCCAGAACAAGGGCAACACATTACGGATTGCGGGTCTCATTGAAGTCCATGCGCAGGTACACAATACACTGGTCATCTGGCTATTGCTGAAAAGTCTATCAGTGTCATAGCTCTGACATCACTATCAGTGGATAAAAGAACTAATGTAATAAGTTAGATAAAAATATCAAATTAAAATATATAATTCGAATGAATTCATTATTAAAAATTTTCAATTTTAATATTCATGACATGATCTTTTTATATTCCATATACATCAAAATCTAGGATTGACATGTATGAAAATATCTCTCCTTGGTTTGAAAATATCTCTCCTTGGTTTGAAAATTACTAGACACGTGGAATTTGATGAACTAGACGAGACCATGTCTTTTAAGCAATCATATCAATTTCAATTTGTAAAAAATATGGAAGTTACGAATCAAATTTCTAAACCAAAAAAACTGTGGACTGAAACAATATGCTCATGTCCAACTCGCCAACATGGCGTAAAGATTCAAGGTTTTTGTACTTAACCTCGCACTTACTCCCGTCTAGTGGGAAAAGTAAGAACACAAACAGTATTATATGTGGACGGAAATTGTTGCCAACGCGCTGGTACCTGAAAATGGGGCGTGTAAAATGACATGATCTTAACTTATAACATATGAGTGCGAGGCTTATTCTTGATATCAATTTTAAGAATGGTATACGAGTTAAAGTGGATGGTACATTGGATGGAGAGTTATTATTAATATGAAAATAATAAAAAGTATATCACAGTCTAAACCCTAATATTATCGCGGTGATGGTCTGATTTCCAACCGAATAACTTTCGAAACCAAACGACTAAATATCTAACGTGAATGACCCATCTTGAATAACAACAGTAAGTGTAATAATCTAGTATTTATGATATTTTCCACCAACCCATTGACATGTGGATTCAATAGGTTGTCAAGACGATTTACGTCCAAACTTCTTGTGTAACAAAAAACAGGACTATCATCGCGCTTTACAATTCAGATTCATTTCTGATTAAACCAAGTAAATTTCCGGTTTTGTATCAAGTCAGGAGATGAATAGTCGTTGAATTTGATTGCAATCCTTATTTCAATTCAAACTCTATCTCATGGGTAAACACCATCCGATGCACTTCCCAAAACTCCTGAAAAGGTGAAGTGCAGTGCTGCCTGCATTAGTGTCTAGAAGATCGTCAGCTTTAAACTACCACATACGAGAACTCCGAGTCTATCTGTCCCCAATGAGAGGCCTCGCTGGAGAACGATGATAATACGACAAGACAACATGAGAGAGATGTGCAACGATATATCCGATACGAGCACTACTCAATGTCTCTACGCTCTTTCGTGCAAAAATTTCATCCGGAAGCTTCATACAGGATGTACTTTCGCTACTCGATAAGTACAAGAATCGTCATTATACAGAACTCGAAGCAAGCTCGGATAATCAGTGTGAACACTTGGCTGCCAGAAACTTTCAAGCTTTCAGCTTCAATTAAGGACACATGAATCAAATTTATCCTCTTCATAAGCACTTGAAGGCTATACCGAGTCTAATCCGAAGCGCCACAACAATCCTGGAAGCAAGATCACTAGTGAGAGCCACCTCCCTTGCTTCTCCCTCGAACTAGCAGAAATTTGTATCCTGAGGAGGATGAAGACTTTTCACGAAGCATGATGATGGTCACATGTTTCGTGAGCTGCAATTGACATGACTGATGATGGCTGGCTCCACATCCTCCATTTAACCAGTGAAGTTAATGTGTGGTTCAGGCACTAGTCATTCATTCATAAGCCTTTGTTGTAAAATACGTGAGTGATAGGCTTGCCGAACCTGTCCACCTTGTTTTGGAACTCCGGCTCTAACTTGCGCACATCGATGGTGGCATGCTGATGGAAGACACCGATGCACAGAGGTACAGAAACTTGAATGGAGAAGGCAATCATACCCATAAGTGTTGGGATCCGCAGATAAGGCCTTTGGGTGTAAAGCCTGGTTTTCTCCAACCTGGCACAGACGAGTTGATTATTAAAACAACAACTCAATCACTCCATGAGGAAATTAGAAACTCAGCTCTAGTGAGGTTGAAAGTATGAACAAGAGCAATCATTTACTTGTAAGAGCAATTTCTTCACCTGTGCAATACTAAAGGCGGCACAACTAAAATAGGAGCAGCGGCTGCAATTCGACCCATTATACAGGCACCGACTGCCCTCACACCTGCTTTCCTACTGTGACCCAATTCGTCGCCGCTACTATCTAGCACTTTGATCCCGTCGAACACTTCGTTTCTACGGGTGATGCCCAGGTTCAAAAAGTCCGCAGCTGCGACCGCACAGAAGGGAACCATTCTCCTGACTATTGGCTTCCTGCATCAACGCAAGAACTGTTACTCATTGCAGATATCGTTTCCCAAAAATATTCTGGAAACAAATCTTCTGATGTAAGATTGAAGATTGCAAGCTTGCGTGGAGAAGCTCTAAGAGATGTATGTGGCTTAGCTGCAGAACTGGGATTTCTTCTCAGACACGACTCACCATGGCGTTGCTTTCGGCACCTTATCGACGAGGGCGTGAAGACCCATCACGGTACCAACAGAGCTGACAGTCGCACCCACATAGGCTTCGAAAATTTTATGCACTCCTTCCTCGTTGGATGCGTTCCGATTTGCATAGTAGTGCATACAATTGTAAGTTTGGTTGAGCCACTGAGCTCCTACATTTTGCATAAACCCTCTGGCTGACAGCATGAGAGTGTCGACAATGAGGTTGCAGGGTATCATGAAGGAAAGTCGTAAAGGAAGGAATATTTTCTCCCCGGTGTCTGGATGTACTACAGCATCCTTGACTTTACGAGCTTTGTTGAGTTTTTTGTCCGACACATCTGTGACTTTCCCCTCCTCGAAATCGCTCAGCAACTTGACAGCGGCATCCACTTCAGCATCTGTGACAAAGGCGGTCCTAATGTCCATCATGTTGAAGATTCTAGTGACCCTATGCCAGTAAGTCCCTTCGTCCATCTTGATCTCCTGCTGCTTTCACTTCGGGGGCCTTCTATGTGGAATCCTAAGACAAGTACAGGATCTCTTCACAATATGAAACCCAAAGCTTGCCGCCTTTCGAGTCGACGACCAATCGAAACCCTGCAAGATGATGGAGATGTGCTTGAGGCTTCGGCGTCTTCCCCTGGGAAGACGTCTCCCTCTGTCAAAAGCAGGGTTGACATTCGTCGGACGAATGTTCTTTGGGAAGTTTAGCTCCCTTGGCTATCTGCACAGAATGACGAGAATTTTAGCACGACCAGGGAGCTCGAGTCTACGGCACATCCTTCAGTCCATCAGATAATACAACAACCTTTTCTAAAGACTCGAGGTTGAACACAAATTCCGCTCCCAGATCTTCCATGCATAGAATCAGATTATCAGCATTTATACAATGATCAATACAGCAAGCAAGAAAGAATCTACCACTACTCTGGTGGAGAGATTTTGTTATCCTTATAGAGTAAGCAGGAGCTAAAGAGCCCATTTCTGTTTCATCTTAGCTAAAAGGACATGGATTGATCGGATTAAGAAAGGAGGAAATTAAAACGTGGTTTGTCGATGTGATACTTTAAACTAAATATTGTCACGGCGGAGTTTCCAGGCTTCATACAGAAAGCTCTGGAAAAGCCATGTGCCCTAAATTATGACTGACCTCAGAAGACGGATTTGATCTTTTTCTCGCTTTGATTTTGATTCTAGGCAACTGAACTTGGATAAATGCTCCGAAAATACCAACATGGCTGCGGTGTGGCTGACTGTGGCTCCTGCAGCTGTAAAGTGATACTACGTGGAGGCCTATGCCCCATAGAAACCGTCTACAGCTTCTTTACCGATGGGCAATGATATTGAACTAAGAAAAGTATCATCCTATACCAGCCCTTATCTGCTTCCAATGGAGGTCAGTATATCAACGACATAGAAAGGGATGATTGTCAATTGTGAGGAGAAAAATTAGTTCGTGATATTTAAGACCAGCAGAATTTCCTTCTCAACTGAGCAGGAACAAAGTCAAAGAATAGAAGATAAATAGTGAGCAGTATGGGCGTACAGAGAATTTACAAAATGTATAGAGATACACCAAAATGTACTGCTACATTCCACACTGAACCTGCTTCAGTATCAAGACAAACAACTTCCTTGGCTCCATAACACGATTTCCAGCTCCGATATTCCATCAAACACATTGAGCTCGAAGCTAAAAGCACGCTCATATTCTCCTGTGGGTCTTACAAAGTCACATTCCAACCTAGCTGGAGGTCTTTAATTAACAAAGAGAACTCTGCACCCTAGACCTTCTCGTGGAGACTCCAATCCTTGCTGTGCTTAGTTCCAGGTCAAGTGGTCCACCGAGTGACGGCTATATGTTATCTAATACTCACCATAGCCAGTAGAAGGGCATGCTATCACGCTGTCAGGCCCATAGTTTGCATCATGACATGCATAATCCGAAAAAGAGTCCATGGCGACAGAAAGAGCCTGCAGTCGAAAGCATATAACTAGAACAAGTGTACAAGTATCATGACGCCTTAAGTCTCAAACAGAATTTGCATATTAAAATATTGAGAAGAGTTTGACATCGATTAAGCTTTATTCAGTCTCCTGATTCACTCAAACAAAGTCCAAACTGGCAGCGTGATTAAGAATTGTTGAAGGAAGAGAACTCGAAAGGCTAGAGCTTCAGAAAGGAAAGGTTGTGTAAGGCCCGTATTTGAGGGCAGTGTCAGTGCGGCATAGATTCGAACACGGAGGGTTTGAAGCTTACATAGAGAAACTTGCAGAGAGTAAGAAATAAAAGATGCTACAGGCCATCTATTGATACGAAAGCTCGTAGTTTCCTATGTTCAACATTGTCGTAGGGTTGGAGAAAGGGATGAAGGTAGAAAGAGGGAGATCCTCATATCAATCCTTAATTGTTGTGAGCATGGTTGCGTGACGCCTGACATTGTATAGCTCAGTCCTTCTGGAGTCACGGGCGACTGACTGCGGCTGAATTTAAGAAGGATGAAGAAAGAACTCGACCACGGCGAATTCAAACGTGCACTCTCATCGAGTTCCTACGATCACGTGGACTGACTGTGAGGCCCGAGATGCGAGCAGGCATCTCACAGAGCGAGCGATGCAAAGCTCACAAAGCATGTGACATGACAAAGAGGTAAACACGAATCCCCGCTAGTGCTCGGCTCATAGATTCAAGACTGAAATCAGACCAAGCTGCAGATCGCCTCCGAAGAAGCAATCTGCCATGATTCGACTTTGGTCCTCGTCCCCAGACGCGGCAGTGGCAGCCACAGGGTTTCCAAAGTCAGACGAAGGGATAGAAAAGGCAGTACGACTCAGGTCCGAGCTCAAATGCCATCAGCATTCGCGTCACTCGATCACACAAACAGAAGGGGAGAGCAAATGGAGCTCAGAGTAAAGCAAACGAAAGAAGCTCAGAGCACTGGCAACCCGAATCGGACTGCAATCCAAACCCCCGACCCAAATTCATCGGTCAGATCAGAATCAGGTACCTCAGAAGGAGCAGCTCGTCGGCAGCAGCAGCAGGAGCAGCGACGCGGATCGAGCCCCGGGCCTCGTCCGGCGGATTCTTTGCAGCACGGGGTCTTGGCGCCAGCATTCCAGTCGGACGAAACGCAAAGGGCCCCGAGGACGGAGAGCATGTCCGACGGGAAGAGGGGGGACGAGGGGCAGCAGTGGGGGGGAGGAGGAGCGGACGGGAGCGCACGAGAGGCAGCAGCAGCCGGGCAGCCGCGGCCGCGGGGACCGAGAGATGTTGCGGGGCGCGGAAAGCACCTCTGCAGCAAAAAGCAGAGGTCGAGCGAGAACCGCAGGGGGCCTAAGGGCGAGCAGGGGCAGGGGGAGGGCGAGGGGGGGAGGGGGACGGGGGGACGAGATTCAAGAGCCCCAGAGGTGGTACAGCACAGATGCGGCGAAATGCCAGAGCTCGGATTCGGATGGATGCCTGCTACGCCGCTCATCAGACTCAGTCCGCAGACTGAACGAATGAACCAACGAACGAACGAACGAATGAATGACTGAATGAATCTATCAATCAATGAGTGACGGGCAGGTGAGCTGAGCTGAGCTGAGCCGAGCCGATCAAAGCCGAGCCGAGCTGAGCCCAATAGAACAGAATTCAGATTCACGAGGCGGGAGATTTGCCTTCCATCGCTGGCCCGGCCCCCAACCGAATCACGAACAGAGCCAGAGCAAAGAGAAGGGATGGAGGGAGACCGAGACTTAATCGGAGGACCACCTAATTTCAGTTCATCTCATGGGCCAAAGACAATTCTAAACCTGCTCCTGTCATGCAATCATCGAATGCCACTACCTCCTCCTCCTCCTCCTCCTTCTGCTCAGGCATTCTTCAGTCGCATCTCAAGGCCTTCAGGCTCAGCTCAGTTCAGTTCAGTTCAGCTGAGCTGAACTGAAGCTCTGAGGTCAGTTTGGTTCATGATTCGGTCCACAGCGTGGACATCTACCTGTCACCGGGCGATGACGTCACGGGGCCGCCCCCATGACATGGACGCCCGGCCATACCGGTCCCGATTCCGGAATCGTTCGTGGCGTGTTTCGTGTCGTGGCCCCGTGGTCCGGGCGGACCGGCAGTCCGGGAGACACGTGGCTGGTCCCGGACTCTGCGGTGCCGGTCCTCCTGTGCGGAAGGGAGGGCGGAGGCCAAATTCTCCGCTGACGTCTGCTTTGTCCGGCGGTCTCAGGACTCTCGCGTCACGGTCCGCGACTTGACTTACTTTGTTTTGTCACGACGGAAAATCTCCAAGAGAATATTGGATAGTATTTGTGATTATTGTGAGGTTTTCAAGGTTGAAAATTGACTATTTAATTTCGGATTATATACTCATATATACATAGTTTGAATTATAACGTTTGAATCATAAATCCTGAAGTAAATCTTTTAGGTGTATGACCGTCCAACACTGAGACAACGATTCAGAAAAAGGTTTTTTTCATTTTCTGAAATATAATAATATCACATCTTAACGTTAAATAATAAAAAAACTTGTGAAATTTATCAAATTAGTAATATTTTAAAGTAAGTTAAAATTTAATTAAAAAATTATAGTATAAAATTTACCATATTATTGTAATATTCAACAGATCAAAATGTTTTGTTCCGCCACTTCTTTTTAACTTGTTAGTTACGAATGTAACAGGAATATCAATTATATATTTTCCTTTTATTTCTTAAAATTTTTTTATGTATTGAAGTCAAAATCTATATAAGATAAAAAAAAAAATTTCTTCCTTTAAAAATAAAAAATCAAAATTTCTTTTTTTTACAAAAGGTGATGTACATAGCCAATTTCGGAGTTGTGATAATATTTAAATACAATGTTTCGAAATATTCTCAACACCAGTTGTAAAAGGAATCTATATTCCATACGAAAATTGCGTGGGCAACAAACGGTTCATTAGGATAAATTAGTTTTTTTGAATCCTTGAGTTGAAGACACGTGAAGAATCGGTAGATGCGTGTAAGGCAGCACAATCAGAACTTCTGAACATGAAGTGGGAGAGTCTATTGTTGGCACGTGAATTAAAATTTGGAGCAAGAAATTTCGCAATTCCTCTTAACCATATCAATATATCGACTGCATGATGTTCGAACCATCCAAGTTACACTGATCTCAAGTGTTTAGTCTGCTTCCAATTTTGATTAGTTTTTCAACTTTTGAACTCATTGCTATGGACTCTTTAAACGAACCTACTCTCCCCTAACTCATATCGTAGGCAAGCCAACATTTCCAAATCTACTCGTCGATGCGTCTTGTATCCACAGCCGATTCCTCTCTTGCTCATGAACTTGTATTAGTAGTTGCCTGGAGATGAATGTCACGAAGAGTGTTTACGCCTTTGTACATGCAATGCACGAGGATACAGAATCTATCGTGCAACAAAATTCTTGGCAAGACTTTTAACGAAGTTGTGTTAATACTCATAACGTATCTTTGACAAATGCATGTTTCTTCTTTTAGCACGTGTCTCCGAAAAAGAAGTACACTCTTATCATCATACTACAGAACACACATCTGATCATTGATTCAAAATGTAGTAGATATATTGATTGCGGGAATATACATCTGAAGCAATAGTCAATAGTTCGAATACATCGAACTATTGACTTCTGGTTTTTTGGCCTCGGAACAAGTACGTCTCCTCCTAATATGTAAACTCGTTCTTTCCAACATAATAACAACTGATACTTTGTGTATCGAATGGTCATTTTCTGGAGTACTCTCAGAGAGTGAGTTCAACGTCAAAAGGTCCTTCTAATTTGAGATGTGTTAAGCCACTGACATCTTGGTTATCCCTGGACAGGGGCTCTGCAGGGAAGAAATCGAATGTGGGGACTTTGAGAGAAAAATCAAGAGGTGTTCCTCCAGGGAAGAGATTCGATGATAGGATCCTCGATGTGTACCCTCTAGTTCATCGGGGTCTGAGAGGCTCGAACCATCTGTTTGTTCCGGTAAAACTGAAACGTTCACTGAGGCATCGTGCATTTCTCTATCATTGTTCTCGTCGTCTGGACCACAAGCTTCCATAGATCCAGAAGCATCACGTTTAGAGGCATCTATTGCTCTTTCCCAGCAACTCGCTCTTGGATGTGATGAACTCGTCACTCCCTCTTTTGAAGAGTGGGAAGCGTCATTGTTGGACGCTGGATGGACTGAAGTTAAAGTCCTTTCTGTATTCTCGATCGTCGTACCGGAATCATCTCTCGTCGGACTTGCTACTCTAGCATAGCCTGTAGGGTGAAAATCGCTAGTTAAAAAATAAATCTGATCATGATTGTATCAAGTATACGGAATGCAGTCACAGAATAGGAAATATGGGAATATATAATGAACCTTCATATGATGATAAAGTACTTGATTCACTTACCGGTTTTTTTCTTGAAAAAACTTCAAACAATGGCTCTTTCATCACCGTGTTGCAAAGCTGTTTTATTGTATGCTCTGCAGCCGAATTACAGGATGGAAATCCGGTCAATAAATATTCATTCCGTCAGTAATTGTGCACTAGCCCTCTATTGACTGTTCACATAAAATGAAATTATTTGCTATCACGGAATCACGATTCTTACCTTACAGCTTCTTCTTCGGTATCGAACCAGCCGACGAGAGTATATCTGAACATATGCAATTGATTTAGAGGAGAGCATCAGTAATGCACATGCTGCTGAGCATGAATTTCAAAGGTAGCTGAATTCGATCCAAAGTATATCATCCGAACTCTGGAAGTCGATGGACAAATTACACGGTTGACTTACTGGGATTTATGCTGATGATTTTTCGAGCAGTACTTCACTTCCCACTTTCCATTGGCATCAATCAGAATCCCCTTCGACGAATTGCACATGAGGATACAATCCGCCTTCCTACTCGTGTCACGCAAGAACTGTCTGTAATCCAGAAAGCTCATCTCTCTCATCTGTCACACACGAAAATTCACACAGATATCGTCTTCATGAGCTCAAATCTGAGATAAGACAACGGAAACACAAAATTGACATTGAATTCCTACCGTTGTTGTTTTGTACCTACTGAATATATTGTGATCGTGTACTAAAATATACCGAGAGTCTTTGGATCAGTACAGTCTTGTCTGAAGACCAACGTCATCTACTAAGAAATACGACTTTGTGCATGCATGACTTCTAATCAAGTAGATGCAATTGCTACTCTCCATTGTAAGAGTTTTCAGAGGACAAACATTCAACTTCCTTTTCATCATCGACCTTACTTGATGCTACGTGAAAATCATAAAGGGTCTGAACTCGAGGGCTACATAACAGGTGGATTCTAGAAAGTATAAGCGTGAGTAAACACTGGAGCAAGAGTTCTATTGCATCCAATCTCTTTGGATGCATGGAAACACCAGGAATGGTATAGGACCCCTGTAATTCATCGCGAAATTCATGATGCCAATGATGTGGGGAACAAAGCAAACCTTCTGGATGTCTTCCTTGTATTCACTCCGATCGAAGTTTAGTTGCTCCGTGGAAGACCGAGTAAACAAAATACTTTTGTCGTAGGCTCTACAAAACACGAAAATTTTTCTTTTAGATATTATAAGAAATTTGCATGATTGACTTCGATGTTATAAGAGAATTGAATAATTGACTTCGATGTTATCCAGAGATGCTGGAAGTTGAAGAACTGTACATACCTAGCAGCTTCGAGAGCAGAAAACGAGGCACCTGTCACCAACAAAGAATAAAAGTATCAATATAGAGAATATAAAGAGAGGGAGAGACATCACCCATTTAGGAAAGACGTCAATTGACCATGAGGAGGGCTCTTTCATAAACAAAGTTTACATTAGTGCTAATATGTAGTGATTTTATGCGACTCCCACAACTTAAGTCCTTTTGTTTGCTAAACTCAAATTAAGATGCGCAAATTTTCACACTTTACCTAGATAGTGCTGCTGATTCTCAAACCTGCATCAAAAGAAGAAGATGAGAATCAAAAACTGCTGAAATTGCAGAAAAGCAGGGAGAAAGAAATTGCAAATTCTGCTCGTGAAACTATGTCTTTTGTTTTCCTCTAAGAAGCAGATTCATGATACAACGTAAGGAATGAGATTGGAGTTGCTTACCAAAGGTTAGCTTCCCATTTACCCGTGCGCTTGTAAAACGTGACGCCCTTGTACGGTCCCTGAACCCTTGTACATTTTCGTCCTCCCGGTCTACAAATTCTCCCCATGGAGAATTTGGTGCGGCTCGCTCGGAGGGCGGCGAAGATTGGCCTCCTTTGAGAGAGCTGCAACAACTTTGCAAGCTCCTCGTCCCAAGCGGATATTCTCTAAAGCAAGCTCCGCAATGTGTCAACTCTAGAGAAATATTAACTTTCTCCAAACTTACACTTGCACTCAAAGCACGAGAATGCTATCACACGTAAGTGAGATGTGCATTCAACCTGCTGCTTCGAAACTCCGACGACAGGAATTGGAACACAAACTAATGCTGTTCACGAAATGGCAACTTCCCAACTCGCTCCTCCTCTCTCGCTAGAAATAAAGGTTCAACAATCCTGCTCGCATCTCAAGCTAGTCCTCAACACGAACAAGTAATGGCAACGGAAGAGATTGGGATCGAACGGGATAGAATGAAGGTGTGCATGAATTTAAAGACCTCGGCATTGATCAGTGACGGGATCCAAGACCGTCGACAGAGGACGGCTCGAGATTCTCTTCCATCATGTGGACATGGCCATAAATCACATCATCGGATTGTCGTATCACCCACATTGTAACTTGAGATGCCAGACCGCTCTAGGATGTATATGGAAAATACAGTGCCAGACATTTCTCGTCCGCGGCCGGCTTCGTAGGCCGGCTTCGTACTGTTGCGGTGCATGCATGAGAAATTATGATTGAGCATCGAAGGACGTCGATAGGAACCGATCTGAAGGGAGGGATGAAGAATTGTACGTACGAATCTGATAGCCATCCCGAGTGGTCTTTGCCATTATCACCAGGACTAAATTTAGGACAATTTGAATCAAAGTGCTTGAAAATTAAATAGCAAATTCTCGGAGTCGCTACGTACGGCTGCTCGCCGGGCTCGCCGGGTGCGGTTCTGGTACTGACAGTTGACCTGACTGCCTTCTGACTGGTCGATGACCCGGCTAGCGCTTCTTTTCCTTCAGAGAAAGACATGAAAGCATGAGCAGACGATCTTCACAATATGTACTTATCTGTATTCACTCATTATTTCCTCTCATCCTGTACTTGGAAAACTGAAATTCAATTAATTTCATATTTTCCTCTATCCAAGGACGGTTTCGTATTTTCCTTTATTCTCGGTAGTTGATTTTTGAGTTCACTTCCTGTTATTTCACTTGGCAGAAGACATCTGATCAGTATCAGTCCCTTTGTGTCTACGCTTTTTGTTCCTCTGGTATTCATACCACAATATTTAATTTCTTTGGTCACATTCTAGGTTTATACGTTTCAAGTCAGATTCCAGCATTTTCCAAATTGACCATGGATTTATTGTATGATGAGATGTTTTACGAGTTGGAAATAATCGTTCACCTTTTGACCTTCAAACAAGATTGCAAATTTACAATTTACCTTTGATATCAATTATTCATTCTTTCTCGTTCAGCTATTTTTTCAAAAGTGCTCATTGAATGGGATTACGATTATTCAACAACTGCTAGAAGATCAGAACAAACCAATGACACCATCTTATTAGCAGATGCTGCTTTTCGGATGGAAGTGTAAGTCATATCATGGGGATCGAACTCTATCACGTTAGCGACTTTTATCTCAGAATGTCGACTGAGCAAAATAGATTATTACAGGCTTGCAAAACTTAGTTGAAATTGTTGGCCTTCTTAGAGCCAAGAGAAGGCCGCGATAAACTCGAACATCAAAAGTCCAGCATTACTGTTCAGAAACATTCATTCAAATTGGGTGGTGAAATCTTTGCATTGAAGTAATGAACATGACCACCAGTAGCAGAGGAGAGGTCGACTTCAAGCTGAACAACTGAAAAAATCACTTCGGTGGTGTCCAAAATTGTATTCAGATTGAAGCACACACTTCACGAAGCTGGAACTTGTACGCGTAAGATCAACTGCAAATGCCCAAGAGCCTCGCTGTGGCTGAAGAGCTAATGTGACGGTGAATTTTCGAATGTCTGCCATAACCGTGAGGAGGAATATTCTTCAATCGAGCTATACATTTGCGAGAGCTTCGATCCTTCATGTTCATGCTTCGCTGCAAGAAACCAACCTGCTTCTACGGAAAATCCTTTGAGTTTCTACATTAAACCTGCAGGTTGAGGAGAGGTCTCCACAGTTTATGCAGTCGATTTACAAACCAGCTAGACACCGGCAAATCCACTCGATATCCTTAACGGAGGTCCATTATCAGCAGTGTGACTTTGCCCAAAGTAGCACAACCGTAACTGCTCCAATTTTTCATCAGAAATTTTTAGAACTCACCTATTGCTGCACTCTTACAATTCCCATCTAACTATATGCTAGATAAACAATCAATTCGAAGAATACAACAAAATAGAATGAGTGCCGAGCATAATATCGATTACGATTGTTCCTACACAGGGAGACGATGCAGGATTATAATAGTAGAGTCAGACGCCGCCAGATTGGTGAAAAAAGCTTTTCCCTTTAGCTGTTTGCTGCTGTAACAGCGACATGATCGAATGGACCTTGAAACTGAGCTGAACCATTTCAACTGCTGCATCACGTCAAGCTTATTTGTAATCGATTTCACAAAGCCAAGGTGCTACGCTTGTGTAGCGAGTAGAAGTTCTACGCTGAAATTGGTTAAGTCATCACAGAAATATTTCAAAACATGAATTCTGCGTGCGCTTCCTCTGGAGTCCACAAGTTTAGTTTCCGTATTCAACTCAGACGTATCATCGGAAAGTTCTTAGCCATTTGCCATTGTAAGAGCAAAACTGATCGACTCTTGAAATGAACTGCATTATTTCAACTGCTGTGAAAATTCATATCATGATCGAAGAAGCGTTCAGATATTTTACATCCGTGGAGCTGGTAGACTCTCACGCTTTTTTTCTGAGAGATCTCTACGCTCCAGAAGAGATCTTTGAGACCAAAACTAAAATCAACTTATTCAGTATAGATTTTAGATGAGACTTGAGACGAGAGCCAGACACAAGGCAACATTGGCAATTTGTTCTCGTTTGCGCTTTCTCTCTGGTGCCCTCAATCGTTTGCAACGCATGCAGTTTAAGAGAGATGCTGCAGCTCATATCTACATCGATGTTTCGATGAACTAGGATCTGTTTACATGTGCTTCATTGCTCATACCCAAAACTGATCCCCAGTCCAAAAACTCGATTGTTGATGTGAGATACAAGAAGAACACATATACTTTCATTCTTCAATTGGTTGGATCTTTTGACAACACTTCAGCTAGCTATCTGCTGGATGCAGGTACAATTTCATTGTATGACAACACTGAGAGTACTGAGGTTTTTAATTTCATTCCAAGAGTCAAGCTAAAATTGGATCGACTTAACCAATCTTGCATATTCTCACAGCTTTGAGATGTGAGTATCACGCAAAATCAAGAGTGCTTCTAGGGAGATACACAAGAAACATTTTGTCGAGATTTAAAGGTTGGTATGACCATTTTTGGGTAGTCTAACGACTACCTTGTCTTTTCGAATAAATACTGATTGTGATATGTTGGATACGGCAACTCTGCCTTACAATTGTCAGGGTTTAAAAATAGGTTTAGCAAGTACATAAAACAACGGATTGTAATTGAAAGTGCAATCATTTATTTGATACTCTTATGCAAGTATGTGGGATGTGTCACATTTAAGATGTTATTTGATTGGAAATTACTGTAGCATCATCATTAATGATCAACCATTCATATGATTGATGACTTTAAACAATCTTACAAGAAAGCTTCTGTCACCGACTGTTATCTTAGAAGAGTATGAAATTAGAAAGTAAGCATAACTGAATGGTGAATCATGATGAAAATAGATTATATTTAGACATACATTATGATCATGACAGATCATGTTTGTTATTGTGCTTTTGTTGAAAAATTTAAAATGTACAGTAAGTTTACAAAGAACATGATTTGTGAAATTATTTATAAGTATTTCCAACATAAGAAAAAAGGTAGTGGATATTGTGATTCTAAAGATCACATCTGATGACAAAATCATGTTTAAAGTTATTTGATGTAAAACAAAACATGCGCTTATTTTGAGTTTATATTTTGGATTGATTTGGAATCAATTCACATAAATGAAGAAGCAAGGTCAGATACAAATATATATTTGAATCTAAGGTTGAGGTCAACTTGATTATGAATATTTATATAGTTTTATTATTTGTGAAAGTTTTTGAACAGTACTATAAATAAAAAAAATTTCTTTGGTTTGTAAACATTTAAGTTTTTAAATTTGTAAATGTAACCATATTGTAATTTTTGAAGAATATGTGTTTGAATAAATTAATTCTCTTTAAATTTTACCAAATTTTTCATAATTATGTTACAATCTATCATTTGATATCAAATATTGATAGATAGATTATGGATTTTAATTTAGATGATTTGCGTAGATGACTTTGACATCTTTCAACTTGTAACTCTTTGCCTATTTGAGGTGGAAATTATTTTTTACACAAATGTTTATTTTTAAAAAAGTAATTGGTACTAAATTATAAACTAAACTAAACTATTATAAACTAAACTAAATTATTATACCGTGGTTTTTGGCCTCGGAACAAGTACGTCTCCTCCTAATATGTGAACTCGTTCCTTCCAAGATAATAACAACTGATACTTTGTGTATCGAATGGTCATCTTCTGAAGTCCTCTCAGAGAGTGAGATCAATTTCAAAAGGTCCTTCCCTTTTGAGATGTGTTAAGCCACTGACATCTTGGTTATCCGTGGAGAGGGGCTCTGCAGGGAAGAAATCGAATGTGGGGACTTCCAGAGAATAATCCAGAGGTGTGCCTCCAGGGAAGAGATTGAATAATTTGATTTCAGCATCCGTGAACTGTGAACGACCCTGACATTCTTCTTGCATTTGGAGATGTGCATCCTCTAGTTCATCGGGGTCTGAGAGGCTCGAACCATCCGTTTGTTGCGGTAAAACTGAAACGTTTACAGAAGCATCGTGCATTTCTGTATCATCATTCTTGTCGTCTCGAGCACAAGCTTCCATAGATCCAGAAGCATCACGTTGAGAGGCATCTGTTGCTCTCTCCCAGCAACTCGCTCTTGGATGTGATGCACTCGTCACTTCCTCCTTCGAAGAGTGGGAATTGTTGGACGCTGGATGGGCTAAAGTTAAAGTCCTTTCTGTATTCTCAATCGTCGTACCGGAATCATCTCTCGTCGGACTTGCTACTCTAGCATAGCCTGTAGGGTGAAAATCGCTAGTTAAAAAATAAATCTGATCATGATTGTATCAATTATACAGACTGCAGTCACAGAATAGCAACTATGGGAATATATAATGAACCTTCATATGATGATAAAGTACTTGATTCACTTACCGGTTTTTTTCTTGAAAAAACTTCGAACAATGGCTCTTTCATCACCGTGTTGCAAAGCTGTTTTATTGTATGCTCTGCAGCCGAATTACAGGATGGAAATCCGGTCAATAAATATTCATTCGCTCAGTAATTGTGCACCAGCCCTCTCTTGACTGTCCACATAAAATGAAATTATTTGCTATCACGGAATCACGATTCTTACCTTACAGCTTCTTCTTCGGTATCGAACCAGCCGACGAGAGTATATCTGAACATATGCAATTGATTTAGTGGAGAGCATCAGTAATGCACATGCTGCTGAGCATGAATTTCAAAGGTAGCTGAATTCGATTCAAAGTATATCATCGGAACTCTGGAAGTCGATGGACAAATCACACGGTTGACTTACTGGGATTTATGCTGATGATTTTTCGAGCAGTACTTCACTTCCCACTTTCCATTAGCATCAATCAGAATCCCCTTCGACGACTTGCACATGAGGATACAATCCGCCTTCCTACTCGTGTCACGCAAGAACTGTCTGTAATCCAGAAAGCTCATCCCTCTCATCTGTCACACACGAAAAATCAAACAGATATCGTCTTCATGAGCTCAAAATTGAGATAAGACAACGGAAACACAAAATTGAAATTGAATTCCTACCGTTATTGTTTTGTACCTACTGAATATATTGTGATCGTGTAGTAAAATATACCGACAGTCTTTGGATCGGTACATTCTTGTCTGAAGATCAATGTCATCTACTAAGAAATACGAATTTGTGCATGCATGACTTCTAATCAAGTAGATGCAATTTCTACTCCCCAGTGTAAGAGTTTTCAGAGGACAAACACTCAACTTACTTTTCATCATCGACCTTACTTGATGCTACCTGAAAATCATTAAGGGTCTAAACTCGAGGGCTACATAACGGGCGGATTCTAGAAAGTCTAAGCGGAAGTAAACACTGGAGCAAGAGTTCTATTGCATCCAATCTCTTTGGATGCATGGAAACACCAGGATTGGTATAGGACTACTGTAATTCATCGCGAAATTCATGATGCAAATGACGTGGGAAACAAAGCAAACCTTCTGGATGTCTTCCTTGTAGTCACTCCGATCGAAGTTTAGTTGCTCCGTGGAAGACCGAGTAAACAAAATACCCTTGTCGTAGGCTCTACAAAATACGAAAATCTTCAATTAGATATTATAAGAAGATTGCATGATTGACTTCGATGTTATAAGAGAATTGCATAATTGACTTCGATGTTATCCAGAGATGCTGGAAGTTGAAGAGATGTACATACCTAGCAGCTTCGAGAGCAGAAAACGAGGCACCTGTTACCAACAAAGAATAAAAGTATCAATATAGAGAATATAAAGAGAGGGAGAGAAATCACCCATCAATTGACCATGAGGAGGGGCCTTACATAAACAAAGTTTACATTAGTGCTAGTATGTAATGGTTTTATGCGACTCCCACAACATACGTTCTTTTGTTTGCTAAACTCAAATGCAGATGAGATGCGCAAATTTTCACACTTTACCTAGATAGTGCTGCTGATTCTCAAACCTGCACCAAAAGAAGAAGATGAGAATCAAAAACTGCTGCAATTGCAGAAAAGCAGGGAGAAAGAAATTCCAAATTCAGCTCGTGAAACTATGTCTTTTGTTTTCCTCTAAGAAGCAGATTCATGATACAGCGTAAGGAATGAGATTGAAGTTGCTTACCAAAGGTTAGCTTCCCATTTACCCGTGCGCTTGTAAAAAGTGACGCCCTTGTACGGTCCCTGAACCCTTGTACATTTTCGTCCTCCCGCTCTTCTCCCCATGGAGAATTTGGTGCGGCTCGCTCGGAGGGCGGCGGAGATTGGCCTCCTTTGATAGAGCTGCAACAACTTTGGAAGCTCCTCGTCCCAAGCGGATATTGTCTCAATCAAGCTCCGCAACGCTAGAGAAAAATTAACTTCCTCCAAACTTACACTTGCACTCAAAGCACGAGAATGCTATCACACGTAAGTGAGATGTGCATTCAAACTGCTGCTTCGAAACTCCGACGACAGGAATTGGAACACAAACTAATGCTGTTCACGAAATGGCAACTTCCAAGTCGCTCCTCCTCACTCGCTAGAAATCAAGGTTCAACAATCCTGCTCACACAATCTCAAGCTAGTCCTCTACACGAACAAGTAATGGCAACGGAAGAGATTGGGATAGAATGAAGGTGTGCATGAATTTAAAGACCTCGCCACTGATCAGTGACGGGATCCAAGACCGTCGACAGAGGACGGCTCGAGATTCTCTTCCATCATGTGGACATGGCCATATATCACATCATCGGATTGTCGTATCACCCACATTGTAACTTGAGATGCTAGACCGCTCTAGGATGTATATGGAAAATACAGTGGCAGACATTTCTCGTCCGCGGCCGGCTTCGCAGGCCGGCTTCGTACTGTTGCGGTGCATGCATGAGAAATTATGATTGAGCATCGAAGGACGTCGATAGGAACGGATCGGAACCGATCTGAAGGGAGCGATGAAGAATTGTACGTACGAATCTGATACCCATCCCGAATGGTCTATGCCATTATCACCAGGCCTAAATTTAGGACAATTCGAATCAAAGTGCTTGAAAATTAATTAGCAAATTCTCGGAGTCGCTACGTACGGCTGCTCGCCGGGCTCGCCGGGTGCGGTTCTGGTACTGACAGTTGACCTGACTGCCTTCTGACTGGTCGATGACCCGGCTAGCGCTTCTTTTCCTTCAGAGAAAGACATGAAAGCATGAGCAGACGATCTTCACAATATGTACTTATCTGTATTCACTCATTATTTCCTCTCATCCTGTACTTGAAAAACTGAAATTCAATTAATTTCATATTTTCCTCTATCCAAGGACGGTTTCGTATTTTCCTTTATTCTCGGTAGTTGATTTGTGAGTTCATTTCCTGTTATTTCACTTGGCAGAAGACATCTGATCAGTATCAGTCCCTTTGTGTCTACGCTTTTTTCTCCACTGGAATTCATACCGCAATATTTAATTTCTTTGGTCACATGCTAGGTTTATACGTTTCAATTCAGATTCCAGCATTTTCCAAATTTACCATGGATTTAGGGTGTGATGATGAGATGTTTTACGAGTTGGAAATAATCGTTCACCTTTTGACCTTCAAACAAGATCGCAAATTTACAATTTACCTCTGATATCAATTATTCATTCTTTCTCGTTCAGCTATTTTTTCAAAAGTGCTCATTGAATAGGATTACGATTATTCAACAACTGCTAGAAGATCAGAACAAACCAATGACACACTCTTATTAGCAGATGCTGCTTTTCGGATGGAAGTGTAAGTCATATCATGGGGATCGAACTCTATCACGTTAGCGACTTTCATCTCAGAATGTCGACTGGGCAAAATAGATTATTACAGGCTTGCAAAACTTAGTTGAATTTGTTGGCCTTCTTAGAGCCAAGAGAAGGCCGCGATAAACTCGAACATCAAAAGTCCAGCATTACTGTTCAGTGTGGTACCCCACTTTTGGCAATTTTGAGGAAATTAAAACATTTTTGGAAAACTGTACCCTGGCAGCATTGTAAATAGCCTTCGGTACATCAAAACAGAGTGAATCCGGAGGATCGCGGGGATTCTCGAGGGATCTTGTAGAATCTGGGATTTGGGGTGCCGCAGTAAGGACAGGCACCACCCTCCCTGCGAGCTCTGCAGTTAGGATCTCTACGGCGCAAGGCGCAAAACCCGCCTTTGGAGGTTGCGTCCGCGGCTGTAGGGAAACCCCCGTAATTAGGTCAACCCTCGGGCGCCTTGACCAAGTTAGGATCCCGTTGGAAAGAGCTCGACGCACTGATTCCAACGAGCCCAAGAACGCTTGGAACGGACGAGGACTTAGGGAGTTATCGCTACTGGAAGAAACGGAGGCGGTCGCCTGCGGCGGAAGGAGTTCGCCACCGGCGCGAATTCCGCCTACGCGGAAGGGGGAATCAAGTTTTGTCCTATGCGCGGACGAAGGCGTTCGCCTGTGCACAGGCGAAGTAGGGTTAGGGAAGGCGCGAAGTCCGCCTACGCACAGGCGCTCGCCTGTGCACAGGCACTTCGGCGTCGGCGGGAAATCCGCCTTGGGCCCTAGAAATGCGCCTTGTGAGGTAGAAAGTGTACGGCGCCTTCCGCGCCAGCGCAGCGCCGCGTACGTCGGAAGAGCCGCCAGAGTAATCCAATCGGTACGGACCATGCGGACGGCACGGGTGGATGCGCTCTTGGACGGACGGAGTTGCGGCGGCGGAAGCGCCGACGGAGAGACAAGGAACGGACAGACTGGACGGAGACGGCTGACCACGGTCAACGCCTTCCGCGCCAGCGCAGCGCCGCGGACGGAATTCGCCTGCGCACAGGCGAACGCCTGTGCACAGGAGGATGTTCAAGTTCCGCGCCGGCGGAGAATCCGCCGAGGCTCCTGCCTGCGCACAGGCAGGAGTTGAACTTTTGTTCGACATGCGGACACACGCGTCAAGGCAGAGGGGGATTGGCCGAGGGGCGGTACGAACAAGTGTACCGCGCAAGGCGGAAAACTCGCCTTCGGCGCTACGCCCCCATGTCCGCAGGGTGACACGCTCGCGGAGTTCAAATCCGCCAATTCGAGCGTGAGAGTTTAATCGACGACGGCGGAGCGTGAAGCCGCGCGTGAGAGCGAAGACCGTTCCAGCGTACAGCCGGCGCGGCCTTCAAGTGAGACGTTCTTCACGACCAAGAGCCGACCATGACCTTCGACCGGGCGGCGGAGAACGTCCCATTCTTGAATTCGCGATTCCAATCTCTTGTGCGCGCTGCGCGCATCCATCTGCTGGCTGCGGAACATTCTCGACGTCGTCGCACAGGAGATTTCTTGTTGATTGAGGGAGAAGTGAGTGCGCGTGATTTGGAATTGAGAGCGATTAGAGTTTGCCGAGAGAGAAAGAAACGCGGGCAGTGCGGAAGTAGAATGAGCGGGCGAGCGAACCCCAGGAACGCAATGACGAGACCGAGCAGATTGCGGATGGTGCCACTTCGCCTGCCGCAGAACGGGCTGCGCGCTTTCGAGGAGCGCTTAATAGCAAGAAAGCTCGATTTCTTGCTATGGGGATGGAATTACATCTGTGCGAATATGGTGCGCGAGTGGCTAGAGCCACAGGGACCACCCTCGCGCGGATTGCGTCCGCATGTTGATCGGTGGACAGTCCAAGATTGGGCGCAGGCGTTGGGAAGATGTGCTGGCATGCCAGGGCATCTCCTTTTCGACAGTGAGAGCATCAAGGTGACCAAGCAAGAAGAGGCGCAATTTGTGGAGCTGTTCAAGACCGGGAGGTCTACCAAGAATGGGTACAGAACCCGTGATTACAAGGATCGATTTCGCCGGACTTTGTCCGCGGCGCTGATGCAATTACTGCAGCCGCACCGCGCCTGCTACATCACATTGTGGCAGGTCTCTTTTGTGGAGTGCGTCATCGAGGGAACTCCAATTCACTGGGCGAGCATCCTGCACAGGGTGATGCGACAGCACGCGTTTGAGGAGAAAGG